TGGGTTATTACCTGCCCCCACAACCCGCCCACGAAAGTGGGCGAAGCCTGTTTTATATTCGAATCGCCTCGAAACACTACCGTTGGTGCAGCAACAACGCAGCGTAGCCCTCCCCGCGCCGTTGATTCACGCCCTATTTGTTACCTGGGCTCCGCCAACGCTCACTGCAATGCCAACCGACGCCAACTCTCCTTTTGGTTGTTTGTGCGCGCGCGCACGCACCACCGCCGCCGCCGATCCAGGAGTTCTGCAGCGTGTTCGCGCACACCGATCTGCGCAGCCTGCCCAACTGCGTGTCGGCCTCGGTCGGCTGCGAGCAGGTGTACAACCTCGCGGCCGACATGGGGGGCATGGGTTTCATAGAGAGCAATCAGTGCGTCCTGCTGTTCAACAACACCATGATCAGTGAGTAGTCCTCGGCGCATTTTTGATGTTTGATGAGCGAGGGGAAAGTCCGGGGGGGGAAAGGGGGGCAGAGAGCAATGTTGACGAACTAGCCGCCACGTTATGTAGGGTATACGACGATTTCTAAACGTTTCAAAGGTCCCAAGCGTGCATTCTAGAAAAGATGCATACAATCCTAGAAAAGGCTAAACACCCGTCTCGCTCTCGTTTTGCCCCAAACCCTCATCCCCCACCCTCCTTTTTTCTCTGGTGCCCTCTGTTTGCTCGTTGCAGGTTCCAACATCCTGGAGGCCGCGCGGCTGAACGAAGCGAAGCGCTACTTCTACGCCTCGACTGCCTGCGTGTACAACGAAGACCTGCAGCTAGACCCCAGCAACCCGGGTCTGAAGGAGGCCGACGCTTGGCCGGCCAAGCCTCAGGCAAGCTAGATGTACGGGCAAGAACCGAAGGGTACCAGCACTTGGTCGGCCACAAGGGAGGACACATCGCATCTTTTCGTCGGCCTGTCGGCCAGAGTGCGAGGCCAATGCCTCGACCTTGAGAACGCGAAGGCTAGAAGCACACCAGCCACTCAGTACGCTCAAGCTAAGATTTACACCGTTATGTACAGTGTTACTCTGCGGCCTCCTGTACCTTTCGGGTGGTCCCCGCGGACTATGTTGAAAGCGTGGCTATGCTTTCTTGTCGCTCCGAGGCTTTGCGTCTTGGTAGCGTGGCCGATCTTGGTACCAACAGAGCAAACGCGCACATCACTCGCATGCACTCACTCGAGACGCGTGCGCACCGACGACCTCACAGGACACGTACGGCCTGGAAAAGCTCTACCACGAGGAGATGTGCAAGGCCTACGCCGCTGACTTCCCCATCGAGACCAGGATGGCAAGGTACCACAACGTCTACGGGCCGCGCGGGACGTGGAAGGTAAGACACGGGTGCAGGCATTTTTGGTATTTATGTACGCTTTTGAAGGATACATTGAAATGTTGTTTTTTCTCGTTTCTGTGGTAAGGCATTTTATTAGGTAGACGCTTCCTCTGCTTGTCTTCTGAGACGTGGGGTGCATGTGCGCGAACGTTTGTGTGTCGTCTTTCGCGATCAAGTCTTCGCGGGATCGAGACAATACCGTTGGACCCACCGGCGCGCGTTCGTCCGTATGTTTGTATGCGCGTGAGTGTGCGCCTCCCTGGTATTGTGTGTTGCCGTACCCGAAATAGCTTGTCTGGCATCATTTGAACCCCCCTTCCCTCAAAAGAGAGTAGCCTTTTGGTTTGACAACTTTTGCTCCTTTCGTTAGGTTAATTCGGGCTCGGTTTGAGAACGGCGGGGTGGGGGCGAGAGAATGGCCGGCATGACTCTAGGTAGGAAACACACCACTTATCGACCAACACGCTTTGATGAGAAAACGTCATGTTGTCTGCCCATACTTGTTGCCCGTGACAGCCCGTATCAAGCCCAGCGGGCTCTTCAGTTCGTTCGTACGTCCGCTCAAGTGACCCCAACTGGCTGGGTACCTTCGTCCTGGTCTATTATCTTGTGCTTGACGGGACATTTCATGGCAACTTGCCCAAACGCGTCTAGTCGAACGAATTGTTATGACCGACAGGAAACGACGACGTGGAAGAGCCGTACACGAGCGCCAATGTGTTCATTCTGTGCCCCGATCAACGCACACAAAGAGCAGAACGCCGGCTGCTGCTACTCCGAAGTATTTTTCAACCGATTTTCGATGTTCGTTTCGTGTTTGTTGAATGCTAGGGCGGGCGGGAGAAAGCGCCGGCGGCCTTCTGCCGCAAAGCCATCTGCTCGACGAAGGACTTCGAGATGTGGGGGGACGGGGAGCAGACCCGGTCGTTCATGTTCATCGACGACTGCGTGGAAGGCACGATTCGCATCATGGAGGGCGACTACAAGCTTCCGCTCAACCTTGGCACGGAGGAGATGGTGCGAGAGTTGTTCTTCTTGATCGCAGAAGAGGGAGAAAGAGAGACAGACAGAGGGCACCGTTGGAGAGAGGAAGGGGATGTGCGGTCGATAGAGGGGGGGGCACTCGGTTGTGTTTTTTTCGTGCCCTTGATATTTTTGAGGCGTTTTTCGTGGCTGTTTCTCACGATATTTCTCTGTACTAGGGTCGACACGCTTTATGCACTAGGGCTGGGGTCGAGCTGAGCGTCTGATCGAAAATGATGAGAGGTCGCACCACTTCTTCACTCGGAGAATGTTGAACTTTCTGTTCTGTGCAATTGCATGAACACGTACAATGCGCACGAACGACGCCAACAGCGACCTCAACAATTGTGCTGCTGCTGCTGCTGCTGTGCGTGTGTTGCGTGCTTCGCGCTCCTCTCTCCACGCGTACGGCATGAACCGCTTGCCCGCAAAATTCAGGTCAGCATGAACAAGTTCGCCGCCATTGCTATGGGCTTCGAGGGCAAGGACCTCCCCATCCGGCACATTCCCGGGCCGGAGGGGGTGAGGGGCCGCAACAGCGACAACACCCTCATCAGGGAGAAGCTTTCGTGGGCCCCTTCCGTCACCATAGCGGAGGGTCTCCGCAAGACGTACTTCTGGATCAAGAGCCAAGTCGAGGCGGAGAAGGCTGCGGGTACCGGGTGAGGGAGTGATTCGCCACACATACACAGACACAAGGCCCCGCCTGCCCCCGCCCACATGCACATACTTTTTTCCAACGTAGGGTGTGCGACCCATCACAATCACTCATCTCGAGCCGGGTTGATTGAGGTGATAGCGGGAATTGGGTAAGACACCCCGCACAGCCATGCTCTCATCATCACGCAGTCCCACCCCCAAGCAGTCTTGCCGACTGGTGCGGCTTGTTTACAGTAGCGGTTTGTTTTGTTTTTTTTGTTTTTTCTCCCATCATTGGACTCTGTCGTCTGCCCCTCTGACCCCTATCCTCCACTTCTACTAGCTAGACGACCCAACCGGGGTCACATAGGAGGGGGGGGTTGGACCCCCTCCTGCGGTTCATGCCTGAGGTATTTTTATCGCGAGAAGGGTACAGCAATCCCTTCCCTCGCGACTTACGAAGTCGATTATGGTTTACGAACAAACGAGCTTTGCAGCGCGTCGCTTTCATCCTAGACCAGGATTTATTAAGTGAGAAAAAAACTCTCTCTGCCGGGACTCGAACCCATGACCTGGCCCTTAGCAGGCTGCGAGGCTACCCACTAGACCACCGGGGCGACCGGTGCGGTGTGGCGGGCTGTATGCCCTCGACCCGTTTCCTGCTTTCCAAGGGCGCGCAAGGGCGCGTCTTGCTTGTAGCACCGTGTGCTGCCCAGGTGGCCAAGCTTATTATCGTGTTCCTTTAGCAATGGCAATGGCGGATCGTTCGCTCGCAAGTCGAGGACGGCCGTGGGGACCTCTAGGCACCCAGTCTGGTTCTCCGTATGTGATGAATCGATGAACCGATTTCTGTCGTGTTTGCTCGCCTATTTGCTGAGGTTCGGTGAGTGCAAAGGCCGATGCTTACAGTGCACAGACGCGGCCATCCCGCTCCCTCTAGCCGTCTGTATAACTCGTCCCCATGGCTGTTGGAGTAGGATAACGCAGAAGCGCGTCTGGAGTGAGTGTTTTGCTCACAAGGTGCTAATTCTCTCGGCTTTATGCCTTCGTCTTTCGCGCTAACAGGAACAACTACGACACTTCGGAAGTCGTCGTTCAGACAACCGAGTCGCTGGAGCAGCTTTCGCACAAGTAGGGAGAGACTCCTTTCACTCGACATATCGCCATCTCTAATCCATGCTTTCCAAGGTGGAGGAGAATTCCAAAGCGCGATGATTTTACGCGAATCGATGTCGTGACACGAGGCCACTCGGTCCACTTACCTTGGGTTCGTTGTTCCAACCGTCGCGGCGTTCACGTCTGCGGCTTGCCGGGGAAGCGGGTTCTCGAGGAGTATTCGCGCTGGATTGGTACCCGTAGTAGTAACATATGAGAAAGTATTATACGTGCGCGAGTCGTCGGCCGGTGACATTGTCATCTGTTTTTGGTAGAGGAGTGGTGGTCCTCGTAGAGGGTCAGTTCCTGCGTGTTTGTCTCAATTTTTTTAGACTCGGTTGATTCCATACGTTTTCACCGCTGAGTCGGTGCTGTTGTACTGAGAGGCGAGCTTCTTTTCTGGTTAGTAAGGTCATAGACGGCGTAAGCTTTGCTGCTCCAGCACTATTTTCACACGCTTCTCCAGTGACGTCGAAATTGTAGGATTGCATACCGCTCGTGGCTCCGATTTCCCAGGGCCGTGAACCACGAGACACACGTCCAAAAGCTGGTTTGTCGGTCTTCGCTTTTTGGGATGTGAAGCGTTGTCGTCCACGCGCCCCTTTTCGGTGTGATCTCTCCTCTTCGGGGGATCTCATGCGTAGGCTCCAGCCTCGTTGAGAATTTTGATGAGGTGGCCAGCAAACGATACGACCATGTACGGCCATGGGGGGGAATTGTCGTCATAATTAATAGGACGAAAACACACAACACAAACACAGTGCCGTCTCGGCCTTCGTGTGATACCTCTTGCGACTTCGGGACTAAGTGCATCGTCTTTTTGCGACCCCAACCAGGATAGGGGCGGGAGTTGGTGGGGGCAGGGGATAGGGGCGGGAGGCATGTGGAGACGGCAATCGCGCGGTCACGGTCACACGTTCGTTGCATGTTGAATTGTTGTTCCTTCTTCTCACTACATTGGAGTGTTCGTATGATAGATACGATTGCGCGTGACGTTGGTGTTCGTGCCATCCGTACATTGGTCTACGATGTAATCTTCCATATGGACGTCACTTTTTTCTCCATGCTACGGAGGAAAACCTTTCCCATAGCGCGACACAGAGTGAGCTCTCGCCGGAAGAGCGACCACTTGGCAGGACGTAGGCCGCGTCCCAGTCCGGCTCCCTGCAGTCAGCAAATACAGCGCCGTGTCGAGTTTACCCCATTTTGTACACTCACGAAATTTGGTAGAGCATTGACCAAAACTGAACATGTTACGTTCAAGAGTATCGGAAATGGTTCTTTTTCACTCACATGCGGTCTAACAAGTCCAAGTATCCCAGGCTCACCGACAACGCAGAACCTGCCTGCCCCTCTTCCACCCAAACAAGCCAATACCGTATCGCACAAGTGAACCTCGGCCGCCATGCCTTCGTGTACCCACTATTGTAACGCCAAGCCGGGAACGGCAAAGCCAGCCCTCCACTGGTGGACGACAAAAAAACAACAACAGGATGGTCGGAGATTGTCCGCAACACCAAAAATTGGTTTCTCAGGTGCTTCGGGCAATGTCCCACCACGGTCAGGATCATTCTGCATGCGTTGGAAGCACATTTGTTTCACTATGGGACACAGAGAGAAATGACCTGAACGCAAGAAATAACACGTTATGCCCTCTGCTGCTATACGAACGGGGCGCAAGCAAACGATTTCCGCTCTAAACCAGACATGTCACCATAAGTTTGCAAATTAACAAATATGTGCACGTCGTCATCGCAATGAAACGCCGACACCGAACCCGCCGAGTCCCACCGCCGTTGTGGATCTCCCGCACAAGATTCATCCACATTATTCCATTATTCCACCTCATCGAGGACAAAACATTGCCATACCCACGACTCCCGCCGTGTTGGTTTCGTCTCGAGGTGCTGACTGGCGCAAACGGTGCTCTCAAGATGACAAAATGGGCTTACCTCTCGATAGTCTGGAGTACGCCAAGCCCCCACCATCCACAGTATTCTTTTCACCGCCCCCCGCAATAGCATACATACGGCACATATTCACGCTTTGCGCATGACTTCATGTCGAGGATGGGGATAAATTTCACGAAACGTCGTCCTACCACCGCTGTGCATCATGGTCCCCCGGCGAATACGTGCTTATCCAGGGACCAGTCCGAACATTGGACGGCAACCACGCAACAGGTAAATACTGCTCGAACAAGCAGCCAATGAACATCGATCGGTAGACCGAAGCATCAAGCAAAGGTGATGGAGGAGGCTAGGTCCCAAGCGTAGCAGACCGCGCACAGAATGCACAAGAAGTCCAGCAACACCTCCGCGCCTAGGAAGTTCGCTTTTCAGACAGGGATTGGCAGCAACAAGACAGAACGACGCAACACCCGGAGGACATCATTAGACAAGGACACGTTTGCGCGCGCGTACTTTCTAAATTGTTCGTCGATGATCTTCTGCACCACGAACGGAGCAGTACACCGAGGAATACAAGTGACCTCTGTTCACCACTGAGCGATGGCATCAATGGTACTGTCGACGTTCGCGGAAGGGCAAAGGGGCGGGGGCAGTGGTGTCCGACAGCTACTCAACCCTCGCCCGTTTGGGCGACACGTGGGTCATAGGATCGTCCATAGAACGAGAGACAACACGAGGTGGTTCGGCTCCGTGCTCTGAATACCAAGGCATCAATGAGCCCCATCCCGTGCAACACCATGTGCCGACAAACGACGGATAAGAATTGGTGTGGCGCTTGCTATTAATCGGTTCGTGGTTCGGATGACGGAGTGGGGCCTGAGCCGTGTCCATAGGATCAACTCAAAAACACATTTTTCCATTTCTCGCGCGAAAGGGGCGTGTGTATCTTTCCGAGGCACAAGTGGGACCGATCTCCCAACTTTAAACGCCCACGATTGCGACCACGGAAGTTCAGAACACCGGGCCGCCCAACTTCATGTTGAAACCTCGCAGCAACCTCAGCAGAAAACAGCTTTACCAGCCACAGCGTTCTACGAACATGGCGTAGTTGAAGCCTGTGTTCATCGTGTGTGGATGGATCATGTGCCGCACGGAACCGACCGCTGACGGTCCACGTACGACAGCATTCGTTCGACACTGAAAAAACTCGTTCCCGGTCGGGCATCCACTGACCTAAGTTTGCGTTCATCTTGGGAAGGTCTTCTTGTGCTGCGATCTTCTGCTTATTCGGCCCTCGCAATTTAATTTCTATCGCCTGAGGCGAAACGTCACGGTGACAAAAGCCGCAAGAGCAACAGAAGCAGCAGCAGGGGTCGTATGAAGTGTCACCAATCGAGCACAAGCAATCTATCCCCCCCCTGGCGTCTTCTACGACCGTGCAGCATGAAATAGTAGAAGGACGGCAGCACAGAAAGAAGAGAGCCAAATCACCGGTGGCAGCACAACACTCAACTACAAGTCGCTTCGAAGCAAGACACGCTAGCGGTCGTTGGCATTCTTGCATGAACACGTGAGCGATAGCGGCGATCCGCCGGACACGGCAATCACAGCGGACGACCACAATATCTCAACCACGACAGCGACAACAACAGCTGTCTTCGCTTTGATACAATGCCCAGCACACCTCACACCTACGGCATACAGACAAACCAAGTAACGGCCAAGATCCAGAGCTGGCTGGCAGAAACTACTCACACGCATCTGCGCCGAACGTAGGGGGCACGAATGAAAACGAGGGACACGCGATTTTGGATCACACGATGACCCATGCTTCACCATCCAGTCACCTGGTGCGGGGTTCCCGCAGACACGGCGTTGGGGCAAGGAAAGCGCACGCGAGCATCCCAACGCACGCGTTAGGGACAAGAACCGCGACGACCCCCGCCAACGAATTATCACCAACGGGAACACTAACCTGCTCCTCCTCAAGAGCCTCTACTGCCGACGGCTCCAGGACGATGGCGTTGTACAGGGTGATGCCGAGGGCTATCCCGAGGATAACAAGTTGCGTTGTCTGTCAAGCAGGAGAACGGCACGCGCGCAAGGAGAGTGGGAAGGTGCTCGGGTTGCTTGCAGAGGAAGGGGACTACGTCGTCCGGGAGCAGAAGCTGCATTCCACATGGTCATGGTACCTGCTAACGACAGGAGAAACAACCCATGTGAAAACCACCAACAACGTCTGAGTGCCGTCCTGTTCGGGAAGGCGTTCGAGCGGTACGTGTGAGCCGCATGGTATCCATGCACAAGGGGCTCTCTCACGTTTGCGTGTCCAATCACGAGACTCGACGTTCCCAGGCTCATGATCATCGCCACGGATAGCTGAAGGTAACTGTCCTCAGGGCGAAAACGAAAAGCAAACAACACACCGACGCGCAAGCATGGACAGGGCCGCCACAGCACAAGAAGCGTTAGTTTCGCTGCGTAGGTGTAGAGTAGCACCCACACCGACCGAAGTTATATTTTGGCGGTGGGAATACGGGAGAGCGGGGGTTGGGGGCAGGGGGGAAATACATATTTGCGACTGATGTCAACGCGAGTACTGACAGCGCCCTGCTTCTTCAATGTGATCTGGCGCTGGGCAGTCAACATCTGAGGGCATTCGAGCAACTGCTGTTCGCATATTTTTGTTGGCTATAATAGCATGCTGCTCATCTACAGCGTAGGCAGTTGCGAAACACACCCTGTTCGCTAGGCTCGATAGACAAACCTGATGAACGGGTTATCACAAACAAGAAACAAGTATTAGAACTCTTTCGTGTCGTGTCATTTCCTGCTACGAAACAGTCCATGCCGGCCCTCTCACCCAAAGACCGATCCCTACAAGGGACATAGGCTGACACATTGCGCAAGACAAGAGCTACAGTTCCGAACCATACAATCTATCCTCAACCCGTGCAAGAAAGGCAGACTCAGCCCGCACCGCTAATTCGCGGGTATATTAGCGCGAGCGGACGGGATGCCAGCGTGCTTCACGCCCCTGGTCGGCGAGAAGGAGAGGGTGATATGGAGCGAGGCGCAGTAGCACGCCCAAAACCAGCAAAAAACGCATGTATGTGCGGGGCACAACCCCCCATGACAAACACAAACGCATGTCTCGACTCACGATGGTCCCAGCTTCCCGAGCAAAGATGCGAACTCGGACGAGTCCCGCATGTTTAAGCCTGTGATGACCGGCCAGATGAAGGTGGCGTAGACACTCATTCCGAGCCAAATCGATAGGCACACGAGCTGAACAAACGCGGCGGCCTGTTTCCCACACGAAACCGCGCAGCAGTGGTGGAAACAATGGAACCGGATACATCATGCGATGCAACATGCTACGTGTACATTTCCCGTTCGCTGAGCAGCTTCTCAAACGTCTCCAAGCGTCGCAACGGAGTATATGGCGTGCTAACTTTGCGGACGTGAGAAATTTTGGAAACCCTTTGTCAGGTCCAAACCATCCGTGTAGTGGCTTGACTTCGCCCCCAACGACAACTGCCTATCCGTGGATGCTAAGGTAGGTAAGTTATCACCTGTTGTCCACAACATTTTGTGGGGATGCCCTAGTTAACTGGCATTGGCACATGTAGGGCTTGAGGCAATCTACAACACGGCCTACTCATGCACATGCAAGTTTGGTTCGATCACCCTGTGCTTATCTATGCGGAGTGTATTTGGAGACATATGGAAGGGGAGTGGGCGGCACAAAACCCCTCATGCCACTTTTCGATGCCTACTTAACATTGAGGTAAAATAAGACAAAGCCACGGCGCTGCTGTGCCAACATAGGTGGTATGCATCTGCGCCAGACCTGTTGTCGAAGGAGGGCGAGAGCCGTGGTCGAAACGACGCCAACGAATTACAACACCCGCGCGGCATGTGAAGCGCACACTCGAGCAGGGTGCGGTGGCGATGCCCTCCGCAGGCATTACGAAAGCCCTTCCAGTAATTCAGAACGCATCTGCACATACTCCTATAACATGAACGCACACCAGGGGGGGGGGGGCATCCTTGCACTCACGTGTGGGCTTATCTCGGCAACCGCGCTGGCGACGGCCGAGCACCCCGCGGCGAAGGTTAAGGGCACGGCGTTGGCGATGACGGTCTGCGCCCTCCGCGCCGTGACAATGCCCCATCGCAGCAACAGGAGAAGCACACGCGACGGAGGGAGATTCAGACAGAGGGGGGTGGGACCGCTGAAACTCTTCGGGTATTAGGAAAAATAAATACACACACAGAAAGGCTACCCGTTCGAGATATACCCACATTCGAACGGGATGTGGTCGTAATTTCAGTGAGTGGAGGAAAACCGGTATGCATGCGTCGACTGGCATGCCAGTTCAGCGTACCACGAACAAAGAAAACGCCTGAGACACATTGCCGACATGTTCGCCGTGTGTAACACCACATGCTTACCTGGTCCGGTGCCTTGTTGGCAGTCATTGTAAGAGCTCTGCTTCTCCTGTCGACCAACGGAGCCCTCGGCGCCGCTCCCGCTATGGTTGCTGTTGGTGCTGAACCAGAAGCCACAGTTCAGTTGAGTGAATACCGCAAAAATCCGGGGACATTGTTGATGCCTTACGGGGGGGTGAACCATCGCAACACTGATGTTGCGGAGGTAAAGGCGTTTGGCCCTTCGACGGGGGGTGTGCAACGCTTTCAACTGACAAAGTCGAGCACGCCACGGTCAGTTTCACCCTCCCTTTTTACCTCGGTTCCGTGGTTCTGTGGTAAGTAGGCAGTCTGGGATGGCTCTCCCAGACCCTTGAAGACAAGCAAAAACCTACAAGCGGGTCCGACGCCACCATATTGACGGATGAAAACCCATATGTGATGCCCCTTGCTTCTGACTTTCCACCAGATTACGAAATTGCAACGCGTGTGAGGCAACACGGAGCAAGGAAGCTGGTGTGCCAAGAACGTGCAGGTTCAATTCTGATATCTGGCATTGTTTTCATGAGCCAGCAGCACACCCCACGTGTTTGCTTCTTCTCCCCCCCCCTTCGCGCTCCAAATGGCTCTACTACTCCAAGACTGTCTCTCTCTCCGCCAGTAGCAAGTACCAACGCCCGTCAGAAAGAAGAGTGGCCACGTGTTCGGCTAAAAGGAGGTACTTGACTGTGGGCCATTGTCGCCACTACCACGCAGGCTTGATGTTTGAACTTGCGATGTCGTCATCGGCCGATCGGACGTGAACGGGAACTTGCCTTTTTCCTTTTTCAATTCATACAACATGGACACGGCAGCAGTCAACATGCCCCGCCCCCCTTCCTTCACTACCATCTCTCCCCGCGCCAAAACAGGTCGGTTTACCTGAGCTTGCCACTGGTAACTTGACCCGTGCCCCCGCTGTCGCTGGCGGAATGAAAGCAGGCGCGATGAATCCATCGACGATGCCAAGGAGAACCAGGGCACACGCAAGGCTCCCTCGGAGAACCATGACTGACGCTATCGCGGCAGCGTTTGCCAACAAGTACTCAAGGAGAAGATACCAGCCTGGTGCTGGTATCTTGGATTCCTTAGAGTCTCCCGGGTTGCTGGTGTTGTGTGTGCAACGGGTGCGTGTTCGTGTGCGTGCGTATGCAGTCGGATAGATGACTTTACGGAGACATCTTTCAAACTCGATTCCCGCCTCCCGCATCCGATTTTGGCGAAATTTTGGCGGTTTTACTTTCCCGTTCCGGTTGGGTGAAGAGATGCGGGAATCCCGGCGCTGGCAAATCCGCAATACCGTATTCTACACAAGATACCACACCCTCATAAGATACCACACCNCTCGTGTTGTCCTTCTCATTTTCTCTTGGCGTGCATTTCTCTCCTTCGTCGTCTTGGAGCGTGATTGCAATGTCGGCTGATTTCTTAGCCGTGTGGAGTGCAACGTTTGCTTGTTTCGTAGTGTAGGTTTGTGGTTCGGGGTCTCCGATGTGTATTGGCTTTGCTCAACTCTCTGTTGGCCGTACCTACCAGCAAGGTAGTACGCAGCAGCCTGTTTTTTTTTGTGAGGGGGCAGAACGGATGGCGCACTTTGTGGCCATCCCCCGACATCATATCGGGCGAGGTACCTTCGATTTAAAATACCGTTTTCCGATGCTCCATCACGCCGTCACGATTGCTGACATACGGTACAGTGTGTGAACTTTCTTCGGCGTTGAGGGGGTTGAGTCATCGCCGAGGTCATGTGCCCAAGAGTTTCGTCAACCCCCTTGAGCCCCTTTTTGTGGTAGTGCAAAGCAGCGGCAAGTGTCGTACAGGCATTGCCATCACCCCCCCGCAATACCACACCCCTTCAGGGTGCGGCAGCAGCGGTTCAACTCCACAAGCAGTGTATCACACCCCCTTTTCATCACACCCCCGAACACATCTTTGAGTGTTTCGACGAGTTATCACACCCCCTGTTTATCACACACCCGAACACACTCTTTGGGTGTTCCGACGTGTTATCACACCCCATTTTATCACACCCCCTTTTTTATCCCACCCCCAAACCCTCCCTGTGGGTGGTCGCATGTGCTACCACACCCCCTGGTTTATCACACCCCCTGAGGAGCTCCTGCGAGCTAGGCTTTATCACCGGGGTACACAAGATACCACACCCCCCCCACAATACCACACCCGGTGATAATATTTTTGAAGCTCAAAATGTTATCACCGGGGTGTGGTATCTTGTGTAGAATACGGTAGCTGGCAGGGATCCGCCCGGCACCCGCCATCTGGCATAGCTGTCACCAAAGTTCTGCCGCGGGTATTTTTGTATTTGGTGCTCCAGAGCAGCAAATACAATCATGCGGGAATCGACTCTTTACACGAAGACACACGCCAGGACGACAGGATTCCACGTGTCGAAAAAACGAACAGCCCGCCACCGCTTTCACACTCAAAAGGCAGAAGGCGGGAATTCCCGCATATTTCTGAATTTGCACGGAAAATGTAGCGTTCAGAAGGAAAGCGTTGTTTGTGGAAGGCGTTTGTTGAATTCGAAAGAAAGCAGGGGACGGGTGCTGAGCGTCCCCTGCGTGCAATGTCTTCAGTCTTCTTGTGCACCCGCGTCTCGGGGAAGAGAACGCTAGTGCAGTCAAACAACTAGTTGAGGAAGCAAGAGGAAGGAGCGTGGAAGTTAGGGCCTTGATCGATTTTGCCCATGGATCCATCAGTGCAAAATGCGGTCCAGGCAAAGATAGCAGCAGACGCAGCCGCGGCCGAAGCCGCACCCGCGTATGACGGCGCCGCACCCAACGCCGCTGCACCCAACGCTGCCGCCGCAGACGCTGCCGCCGCTGTCAACGCTGCCGCAGCCGCTGTCGCAGCCGCCGACGCAGCCGCAGCTGCAGCCGCTCCCCCGGCAGCCGTGCACAACGGCGGCGACGCCCCCCCGGCAAACAACGGACCAGAGGAGGGTGCCGGCGCGAACCCACTCGGCGGTATCCAGGCCATGCTCACCCAGTTCATGAACGCTCACCAAGCTCAAATGGCGGCCTTACACCAACAGGTGGCGCAGCAGGGACAGATCCTGCAGCAGCAGCAGCAGCAGCAGCAGCAGCAGCAGCTGGTACCCGATGGGGTGACGTGTGAAGGGGTTCCGTGGCACGTTGTGTATGTCGAGATCCTTGTTGTACCGATGGTATTTTGCTGTACATATTGTGTGCCGTATATATTGTACGTTGTACATATATATCGTATGTTTTGCATATGTTGTATGTGGTATATGTTGTGCATGGTTTGCCAAAATAAAAGGGGGGCGGGGGGGGGATCAGTATGGCGCACCAGCTTAGGTTTGGGGGCAGACAGAGTTTATATGTCTCTGTCTGTTGGGTGGCTGATGTTTACTGATCGTAGGGAGTAGACCGGGGGCGTGTGTGGTGTTGCCCTGCCTGGTCTCTGCTCTTTTCCCCTCCCCCTTGGCGAGCAAACGGGGTACGCAAAATAAAAATGACAAATTTCGAAAGCATCGAGAAAAGCANGGGGCAGACAGAGTTTATATGTCTCTGTCTGTTGGGTGGCTGATGTTTACTGATCGTAGGGAGTAGACCGGGGGCGTGTGTGGTGTTGCCCTGCCTGGTCTCTGCTCTTTTCCCCTCCCCCTTGGCGAGCAAAGGGGGTACGCAAAATAATAATGACAAATTTCGAAAGCATCGAGAAAAGCGAAAGATTGACTGACGAAGTAAGGGAAATCTGCGTTTTGTGAGAAGCGGCAGAAATAAACCTTGGCCAATCAGAAAGCAGGAAGCGGACGAGCGTGTTGGTGTTCTGTTTTCAGTCTGTACTCGCTTCGCCGTGTTTACCGGGGGCGAGCGAGAGCACGTGTGCGTGTGGTGGCCAAGGGTTGTTTTCTGCCGTGACGTTTCTTTTTCCCACCCACCCACCCTTGCTTTTGGGAGTGTCAGTGGACATGGAAATAGGAGCAGCGGCGTTGTGTTCAGGTTGAGTGCCCGTCGGGGGGGACTCACTGTGTAGCCGCAGTCGGGATTGCGTGTGCCTATGCTGGGCGCAGTTCCGAGGTGCTCGTCCCATTTATTCTTGAGTGGGATTTGTGTATATCGCATTTCAGGTTGTATATGCAGGACGCATGTTGTTGGGCGTATCGGACCGTTGCATGGTTGGGGGAGTGCACTCCTGGCTGCTGTGTGTGGCTATGTTGGTGCTGCGCGCTTCCCCGTTACGTGCGTGACGAGTCTGATTGATTGGTGGATACGCATACATATCATATGGCTTATATGTGGGTGTCCTGGTGTCCGGGTACATGCGTGTTTTTCTGCTGCGCGATGGGAAGGTCAGGGGAACAGAGAGTAGCGAGAGACGAGAAATGGGTTTTTTCTTTGGTGGCCCGGGTGTTTCGCCCAATTGCAATACTAATGTTGATGGGCCTAGTGGGGTTCTCTCGTGGTTTTAGTACGAACAAGCCGGTGCGGTACTATCAGCGGTTGTGGGGGGCAGACAGAGTTTATATGTCTCTGTCTGTTGGGTGGCTGATGTTTATACTAATCGTAAGGAGTAGACCGGGGGCGTGTGTGGTGTTACCCTGCCTGGTCTCCGCTCTTTTCCCCTCCCCCTTGGCGAGCAAAGGGGGTACGCAAAATAATAATAGCTTTTTTTTTGTAATGACAAATTTCGAAAGCATCGAGAAAAATGTAGCGTTCAGAAGGAAAGCGTTGTTTGTGGAAGGCGTTTGTTGAATTCGAAAGAAAGCAGGGGACGGGTGCTGAGCGTCCCCTGCGTGCAATGTCTTCAGTCTTCTTGTGCACCCGCGTCTCGGGGAAGAGAACGCTAGTGCAGTCAAACAACTAGTTGAGGAAGCAAGAGGAAGGAGCGTGGAAGTTAGGGCCTTGATCGATTTTGCCCATGGATCCATCAGTGCAAAATGCGGTCCAGGCAAAGATAGCAGCAGACGCAGCCGCGGCCGAAGCCGCACCCGCGTATGACGGCGCCGCACCCAACGCCGCTGCACCCAACGCCGCCGCCGCAGACGCTGCCGCCGCTGTAAACGCTGCCGCAGCCGCTGTCGCAGCCGCCGACGCAGCCGCAGCTGCAGCCGCTCCCCCGGCAGCCGTGCACAACGGCGGCGACGCCCCCCCGGCAAACAACGGACCAGAGGAGGGTGCCGGCGCGAACCCACTCGGCGGTATCCAGGCCATGCTCACCCAGTTCATGAACGCTCACCAAGCTCAAATGGCGGCCTTACACCAACAGGTGGCGCAGCAGGGACAGATCCTGCAGCAGCAGCTGCAGCAGCAGCAGCAGCAGCAGCTGCAGCAGCAGCAGCAGCAGCAGCTGCAGCAGCAGCCACAACAGCAGCAGCAGCCACAGCAGCAGCAGCAACAACCCGCCGGCGGCTTTCTTCCTCCCGTCAACGCACCGGTGGTGGCCGCTAGCGCCGCGCCGCCCGCCCCGGCGACCGCGGGGTCGAAGATGACGGAGAAGATGAGGGCTGAGGACTGGAAAGCGACGGGCCCCCTGTGGCTCCTCGCGCGGGGCGGATTCGACACTCGCGCCCCGGTCGACGTGCCCTTCGTTAAAATGGTCGCCGGCGAATACTCACACATCACAGAGCAGGGAGGGAAACAGATGTGTAGCCTGACGGACATAAAAATCGAGCACTGTTTCCCGCCCAAGTCCGCCAACGCCGCCCTCGCTGCCATGCCCGTAACGGTCCACTTCGACACCTTCATCACCGTGCTGTTCAAAACGATCGAGTACGGCATGGACACGGCCGAGGAGAATGCCAAGCTTCGCGTCGCGGCCTGGAGGGCGGAGTTCGCATCGATTACAAGGAAGCTGGCTACGTACCTCACCCTCCACTACACAGGCCTGCAGCCCCATGAAAACCGGGTCCGCAACGTCCTCCTGGATGCCATCAACCGCGGCTTGGAAGACGGTTTCCGCATTTTACACAAGATGGCATACGACCTACGCTGGACGCACCAGGACGGCCCCCCCACCGCGGACGCCACGGATGCCGTCCCATTTCCGCGATTCAAGCTCCTGAAGACCTTGCTCGAGGAAGATCACACCCAGAGTCTCGCGGAAAAGGCAGCCCAATGGCCTCTCCCCACCGTGGCCGCCGCCCTCGCCCCCGCCACGAGTGCAAAGCGGAAGAGCGGAACGGCCGGGGCCAAGACAGCGACAACCAAGCGGCAGCGGACCACGACCACGACCCCGACGTGCCCCCCCGGTTTTTGCAAGGGATGGTGGTTCAGCCGCCAGTGCCGTATCCCAGACTGCCAACTCCACCACGTACACGCCGGTCCCGCCTCCGCCACCTCCGCCGCTTCCCCACCCCCGCAGGTCCCGCCACCCCCGCAGGCCCCGCCGCAGCAGGCGGCGGCGCCGCAGCCGCTACCATCGCAGCAGCAGCAGCAGCAGCAGCTCCGCCAGCCCAGCGTGGGCAACTTCAGCATGACGGTCCACGGCGGCAGGGGCGGTGGAGGAGGGAACCAGGGGCGCGGCGCCGGAGGGAGGGGCGGCGGGGGGNCCTTGGTCGGAATGCAACATTTCAGGCGATCCAAAGATGCTGATGATGCGGTCGATAATGGCCTGCGCGACAGTGATTGCTGACTTGTTGGGAATCGGAGTCAACACGGTGAATCGGGTTAGGTGGTCCATCATGGATAGGACATATTTGCACCGTACCCCGGCGGCTGAAACTGATTCTACTTTATATTCAACTAGGTCAACCGAAATACGTTCGAACGGTCTTTGTACTGGTACATGTCCCGTTGGTAATTTGTTTCGATTGTGGGCTGTTTTTCGACGTTGACAAGCTTGGCATTGTTCACACCAAGTACGGACGTCCCGATTCATGGTTGGCCACCAGTATTTCTGGCGGATCTTCTCATAAGTCGGTCTAGACGCTAAGTGGCCTCCAGATAATACGTGGTCGTGATAGGCGTGCAGCACTAGTCCAGTAAGGGCCTGAGGCGACACTAATTTTTTGTCACTAAACGTACTACGCTTCCGGAGGTAGCCTGGTTAATACGATTTAAACAGCAATCCATCACGCACGAAGTAGTACGACATGGAAGTGGTTGTAACAACATATTCGCCTGATTGAGAGCGTAGCATCTGATTGAGAGCGAGATTGCGCGATACGCTGTAGCCGGACTACCACTGAGAGGTGGAGCTTGCTGTGTAGCTTGAATTGAAGGGCTAGCCCGTAGCTTCAAGCCGCTACCCTGGTCATCCTGTGGGAGTCTCTCGTTGTGGAGCTACAGCGGGGAGCAGAAGCTACAGCAGAGCCCACCGCCCGACGCGATACCGCCCTGAAACAGTTTGAGCAGAAATAGCCAATCTGGGCAAATCTAGCAACTTGTCTAGCTCCTCGCTGCAGCATCCGATGACGATGACACGCATATGCTCGCGAAGCTGCTGATGAGACCTTCAATTTGCACCGCTTCTTGGAATAGCCCGTCCCCTACTTGCCAAGAAATGGCAAGAGGCGTCTGGACCCGAAATTTCATTTTTTTTGGCTCTCGCTCTCAATCAGATACTTCGCTCTCAATCAGGCGAATATGTTGTTTTGTCTCGTTATCAGGTAATTGGGCGTCAGGTTTTTGGAAGATAGTCGACATATGTGCCATATTCAAGAGCTTGTTTCTCACGCAAGATATCGCGGTTAATAGTTTCAAATACGTTGGTCGCGCTAATATACACTGATTTCTCAGCGAATAATTCGCGATCACTTTGAACCGGTCGCAAGTTATCCAATCGATCTGCAGACACTTGGTACGGACGTGATGGAACATTCGAGTGCAGCGCAGGGTCATCAGGCATATTCCTACATATCGGTGCAAGTTGCGGTGCTTCCAACTGTTGTTGTTGGTGATCGAACGCAAACAACCGCGATAGGGTGTCTGGGACTGACTACATGTAACTTTCCCGGCTTGTGTCGCACTGTAAAGCCAAAGGACTGCAAAGCGATTGCCCATCTGGTCAGCATATTAGACGTGTCTTGCATAGTGTACAAATATCTCAATGCCGCGTGATCCGTGACAACTTCGAAATGTCTGCCCCATAAGTAGGGTCGCCAGTGTTGTAAACTCAAGACCACACCGTAACATTCCTTCATCGTCGCAGAGTAATGACGTTGAGCATTGTTAAATCGTTGGCTAAAATAAGCGATAATATTCACATCGTCGCCGTTCTTTTGGCCCAGGAATGCTCCTGCACCAACTTCACTAGCATCTACGTGAACCACGAAGTCTTTGGTAAAGTCAGGGAAACATAACACAGGTGCTTTGCTGAGTAAACGTTTGATATCTGCAAAAGCCTTATCATGTTCCTGGTTCCAACGTTTTGCGATTGATTTTACATGCTCTTTTTGTGTGAGTTCGACTAGCGGTGCGATGACCGTAGAAAGGTCGGGTATAAATTTCCTCACATAGTTTACCCTTCCCAATACTGAGCGAAGTGCTTTGATTGTTTTGGGTACAGGAAAAACAACATATTCGCCTGATTGAGAGCGTAGCATCTGATTGAGAGCGAGATTGCGCGATACGCTGTAGCCGGACTACCACTGAGAGGTGGAGCTTGCTGTGTAGCTTGAATTGAAGGGCTAGCCCGTAGCTTCAAGCCGCTACCCTGGTCATCCTGTGGGAGTCTCTCGTTGTGGAGCTACAGCGGGGAGCAGAAGCTACAGCAGAGCCCACCGC